TTTTTTAAATAAAAAAAATAAAAAAAAAACAACTATAAAATCTACCTAATAAAATTCAAATTAACCTATTTATCTATTTATTATTAAGAATTTTTAATAAAAGATAATTTAATTAGCCAATAATTATTAATATTAAAAATATTTACTAATTGATATATAATATAAAATAAAATTTTTAAACTCTATCACAAATTAGCTTTTATTATGAGTTTCTTAATAAAATGAAATCTAATTAGACAATGATATATTTAAAAAAAATAAAATAATTTCTAGAAAACTCTATCACAAATTACTTATTTTATTTTCAATAAAACTCAATCACATTAGATAAAGATATATTTAAAGAGTTTCTATAAAATTCTAACACAAATTACCTATTTATCTATTTATTATGAGTTTTTTTTAATAAAAAAAATTTAATTATACAAGAATTATTAATATAAAAAATATTTATTAATTGATAGAAAAAGAGTTTTTAAAAGAGTTTCTATTAAACTCTAACACAAATTACCTATTTATTTATTTATTATGAGTTTTTTTAATAAAAGGAAATCTAATTAGAGAAAGATCATTAATATAAAAATATTTTTTTAATTGATATAAAAAATAAAATAATTTTTCTAAAACCCTACCACAAATTACCTTTTATTATGAGTTTTTTTTTTTTTTTTTTTTTTTAATAAAAGGTAATCTAATTAGACAAGAATTATTAATATATAAAAATATTTATTAATTCATATAAAAATAGGTTTTAAAAGATTTTCTATAAAACTCAAACACCTATTTATCTATTTATTATGAGTTTTTTTTTTTAATAAATGAATATATAATTGGACAAGAATATATTTAAAGAAAATAAAAAATTTCTAAAAAATCTACGGCAAATTAGCTATTTTATTTTCTATAAAACTCTATCACATTATCTATTTATTTTGAGTTTTTTAATAAAATAAAATCTAATTAGACAAGAATATATTTAAACAAAATAAAATAATTTATAGAAAACTGTACCACAAATTAGCTATTTTATTTTCTATAAAACTCTATCAATATAACCTCTATTTATCTATTTATTATGAATATTTTTACACAAAATAAATTTATTTTTGTAAAACTCTATCACAAATTTTCTATTTTATCAATTTCAAATTATTTCAATATTTATTTATTAATAAAAAAATATATTTATTAATTAATATAAGAAGAGTTACAATAGGTTTATTGTTACAAGCTTCAAATCAATAATTAAAAAAATATATATGAAAACAGAAATTCTATAAGTTACAAAAGATTCGTGCAACCCACGTGCCTTTTCCTAGTGTGTGTGTATATATATATATATCTTTTGGACAAACGTTGCACATGCAGAGAACGAAAAATAAAAAATTGTAACCTTCCCAATTTTTTATGTTGCAGTTGCAGTTATATTGGGCTTCATCATAAGCTGAATAAAATACAGACCCATAAGGCCCAGAAGAACTCTGCACAATTTACAAAAATAGGAAACCACAGGCCCGGTTGGCCCAAGAGATCACCATGGCATAGTCGGGAAAACTCAATTAAAAAAATATATGTTTTCAATTAACTGTCTTTTACATTTATTTGAGAATAATTTTTTATTTTTGAGTTTTTAAATTTTTATTTTTTTTAGTGGCAAACCATGCAAATTGTCGTCCTATGAGTTTTGAAAAACTGTTTCAAGGAAACTAAACCAAACACTCATTTAAACTCAAATTGTGTTCGATTTGAATATATTGGGTTGGAATTTCGATTAATGTCAAGATTACATTCGGATTATTATGGTCAGATTTAATTCAGTTTATTTGTTTAAACTTCATAAAGAAAATTAAAAGTTATCACCATAAAAAATGAAAAATAAAATTATTATCAATTCTTTAGGATCAAGTGGATTTCTCTTGTTGAAGCAAATTAAAGTTGTTAGAATATACAGCAATATATACCTGATGGCTCATTCTCACCATATTCTGGTAATTAATTGGTAGTTCATAATTACTATATGAATTTCTTGTAGATTATAGGAATAACATAATCTTTGGTGAATTAAAAAGTATGAACAATGGTTGTTTGGGCTAATTTTACATGTTGGTGGCTTTTATATAATTTTTATGTCTCAGAACGAATATTAATTTATATAATTTATTAAGGTTTGTTTTATGTTAGCTCACTTTTAATTAATGATTTTGTTAAAGCTATGGTTCAAATTTATAATATTTTATAATTTTAGTATTTGCGCCATTGGTGTTATTTGAGATTTATTGTTATTAGAATTATTTATGATTTTCCCATAGTTGTGATTAAAATTTCTCATATAAATAATTTCCTATTTTGCATAATTGGTGTAATATTACGTATATTTGTTGTCGACTGATGATCCGCGGCTGCCAATATGTCTCTCGGTAACAAAATGTCCAGAGGCTAATGAGAATTATTAATTATGTTATCTTATAATATTATGGTTACAATTTGTAACATTTTATAATTTCATTTTTTGCACAATTAAAATTTCTAAAATAAATTAATAAGATGTACAATTTAGAAACATTAGATAAAAAAAAAAAAGTGGCCCCTGTGTTGGGCTCTATGCTGGTGCGGTGCCGTTACGATGCACCGGTGGACACGGTTTCCTGTCACCAAGAGGGAATCCAGTTTACTTAGTATATATGCCCAGTTTGATGGATGACCTGTTTGTTAGATGTTGTGGTTAAGTAATAAGATAGAGATAATTTGTAATATAGTGAAAAATCACGTTTTTATGATGACATCATTCTCCATTCATATATATAAAATAATAATAATAATAATAATAAAGAAAAAAAAAAAGAAAAAAGAAAGGAAATCAAATTAGTCCAACTCTTATCATTTTACCACGAATTTATTGAATTCAAAACTTTTTAAGATGTTAGTTGAATTATTCTAGTTGGATTGAATTAACGGGTCAGTAGTCCAGCGGTACCAAATCTTTATTTTTTAAAGAGAGGTTAGGATTCGAGATTCATTGGAAGTGTGTACAAACTACGAAATCAAAAATATATATAGTTGGATTGGTATCTGCTTTGATTTTCCTCCGGCTAAATGTTCATCCAAGATTTTTTCTTTTTCTTTTTCTTTTTTGGCCTTTGTTTTTTGTTTTGTTTTGTTTTGTTTTTTTTTTTTTGACGTACTTATACTTCCAATGGTCTTGCAATCCAAAGTTTCAAACTAACTGTGAGTAGAGGGTATCTCCTGATACAAGTGGAGAGAAGTATCCTATTGTTTTACTCTTAGAGGGTTGTTGTAAATGATAATCTTTGCACAATTTCCATTCGTAAGGAGGACATTTCATCATTGCATGTCAGGAGGAGACGAGTATTGTTATTATTTTAAGGTCAACTCTAATTAGGTTGGAATTGGAAATTTTCAGTAGAAGTCTAGTCTTAATTGTAAAAATAACGGTCAAAATCCGTGAAACAATAGATTAGGTTTAAGAAACCACATTTTAGCAATATTAGTATTATAAGGGGGTATATAAGTATTCTTGAAATATAAATAGAACGGGTGAAATTACCTATTATCGTTCCGTTGTGCACAGTGTGACTTTTTATCAACTCACTCTGTTAGTGATTAAACAACTAATAAGACGGAGCAAGTTAATTTGTTATCACTAAATTGATAGGTCCCAAGCCACTAAACTGTGCACCCAACACTCACGGTCAAGAGTACTGTTACAAAAATAAGTTTTTATAATTATCTCAATAAATAGATAGAATCCAATAAAGACTCTTGTCAACTTTTTAAAAGAATAAAAATATTTTCTTAACTTAATTGACACGTCAAGTCGGTTATATAGTGGGGTAAAAGTTATCGTTAAGTGTATCATTCCTTTGGACAAACAATTTGATCTATTAGCAAATATTTTAAATACATTCATTGTCAAACTATTAAGATAATTTTACACGTTTCAGTTATAGGCTGAACCAGTTTTGATGGGGCCTAAAAATCAAATTGGATTTGGGGGCTTTATCCGGACCCTATCCTTTCAAATTTTGGGCCTTAGAACTCAAATCATATTTTTTAGAGATGTTACGGCTTACTTAGTTTATAATTATGGAAACAAAACTGAAAGTTTAAAATTGTACAAAAAAAATCTGTTTGGTTTAGTTTTCTGAGAACTATTTTCTGAAAACTTAGTTATAAAAATTTTTATTTTTAGAGAATAATCTTTTATAGTTCTTTGAAAATTGTTCCCTATTTTTAGAATTTCTGAAAATTGTTTTCAGAATTACAAACCAAATATCTATTTATGTATAAAAAAAAATAACAACTTTAATTTCTTTAAAAAATATTTTCCGTATTAAGAATTGTTAAAACTAACTTTAAAGTTTAAATAATTGAAGACCAATAATAACAAAGTGTCTTGCTTTACATTTACAAATACAACAAATTAAGCTAAGAACTCGTTGGAGACAGACCTAAAAAATCATGTGAGTTGGCCTTCAACAAAATCAAGATAAAATAATGTTACCGGGAGAATGGTGGAGTTTTTTTTATAATTTTAATTGGGGTAATTTTAAAATAGACCATAGAGGTAGGTATATAACAAATAAATAAGTGCGGCAATCCACTCAACTATGTATACATTGTATAGGTCCATCCCTAAGAGACTTATGCACAACTATTCCTCCAACTATTTTAGTTGCAATGCTGCATTTTTTGTAACTTTGTGGGTTGAAAGTTGAACCACCAAAAGTAAAACAGTGATAGGTCTTAAGTCATAAAAAGTGAGAGTGAAAGCGAAATAGAGAGTGAGATTGTGAAAAGGGTAGAATTAAGTTTCTATATAATGAGAATTTAAGTAAGAGTGTGCGTGGAACGTGAGAACAGGAGTGGGTTCGAAACGTGAGAGCGACACCGGTTAAAAAAAATTGTGTAACTTAGAGTGGGATCCACACAATATTGTCAGTGGTTCAATTTTCTGTCACCAAAATTTTTTCCTAAAAATGTTAATAATATGTTATTTTCCAAAAACAATTGGTAATAATATTGATCAATACTTTCTTACAAGGATTGGGACGCGCACAAGCTTGAGAATATAGACCTAAGAGATGGTAAGCTAGACGAAAAAAATAAAAATAAAAAGAAAAAGAAAAAGTAGTACTCTTCCTACTTCATTGCAAATTTGGAAGACAGTGTTATTTATCCCAAAATAGATAAATAAATGAAGGCAAAGTGGGCCCAATTTGGACTCTTCCTCAAATCGCAGCCATTAATTCCCCAATCAAGTTCCTCCGCGCTGTAAAAGATGATCCATTTTCCATCACAGCCTTTCTGCTCTTCTCACTCATCTCTTTCCACTTGATCCTGACCTCACCATCACCGTCCATCAAGCGCCTCACACCTCTCTCCACCTCCTCCGCCAACACCAAATCACTCCCCGCCCTGTAATCCAAACTGATCTCCACCGCTAATCCCAACTCCTTCATCATCTCAAAGGCATTCATCTGCTGCTCCGCGTACACCGGCCAAGTTGCAATCGGCACACCATACCACAAACTCTCCAAAATCGAGTTCCAACCACAGTGTGACACGAATCCACCAATGGCTTTGTGGGCCAGGATGGACACTTGTGGAACCCATCCACACACCAATCCTATCCCAGCCGTCCGTTCCAAGAACCCATCAGGCATTATTTCCTTGAGATCCATGTAATCAGTTGGGAGGTCCAGTGTGCCTTTGGGTAGTTGGCGAATCGCCCACACGAACCGGTACCCGGTTCGCTCCAAACCAGTTGCGATTTCTCTCACTTGGGCCCCACTTAGACTGCCCATGCTTCCAAAGCATAAGAAAACAACCGATGATGGAGGGTGGGGATCAAGCCATTTCATGATGTCGTCGTGGTGGGCCAGGTCCGAGTGCCATCTTCCCGGTCCATGGTGGTCGATAACCGGTCCGATTGGATAAACGGGTGGTACATCACCATCCAAAAACGTGTCAAGAGCGTACGGTTCGAGTTCTCGAAACGTATTTACAATAATACCCTTTGTTTCCCTGTATCTGCCTCCATGGTGTAAAAACCAATAGTAGCCATCCTCTTTTATCTTCAACATTGCTGGAGGGAAGACTCGTGAGGGGACTGAGTTGGCAAAACCCGGGATGGTGAACTCAGTATCCGAGTCATCAAAATCGGTGGTGACTCGGGTTTGTAAAGTTGGTAGGTGGAGCATGAAGCCGAGAAAAGTTGCCGGAGACGGGAAATAAAGATAGCAGGGGACACCCAATTCACCGGCAACATCAATCATCGAAGTACAGAACATGTCGACGAATAACCCGGCGAGTGGGACCGAGTCAGACTCGGACTCGGTTGATACGAGGTTGTTGATCGCATGCTTTACGTGTGGTCTGTGTTTCTCTATCATGAGTGAAATGAAGCCCAGGGGGGCTTTGTACTGATCGGGTGAGGGTGGGTCCAGGGGTGGTAGGTGGACGAAACGGACGCTTCCGGTGGCGGTGGTGGCGCGTGAGTCAACATACGCGCCGACGAGTGGTCTTTGAGGAAAGCTGATAATGAAAATAGTGGCTATGAATCGTTGGTCTGTGTTGGTTAGGTGTTGAGCGAACTCAACTGCTGGGACAAGGTTTCCAATTCCAGGTGTTGGGATTATTATGATTTGAGCTTTCTTCATTGGATAATTTTGGTGTTCTTAGGTGTGTTTGTGCTCTAATTAATCTGAGAAATATGTATATATGTATGTATATATTACAGTATTATGGATATATAAATATATGTTAATTTTTGGATGTTTGTTGTGTTTGTGATAGAATAGTGTGAGTGGCTCTTCTTGACTTTAATGTTGTAATTTTAACTTAAAATATAGACAATAAATTGACCCAAGACATGGCTTCCATTATATATTCAAAAGATAATGTAAAAAATGGCATAATATATATGTATGTGTGTGTGTCTTTTTGGACATATGTTGCAGTTGCAGAGAACGAAAAATAAAAAAATTGTAAACCTTCCGAATTTTTTATGTTGCAGTTGCAGTTACATTGGGCTTCATCCTAGGTTGAATAAAATACAGACCCATAAGGCCCAGAAGAACTCTGCACAATTTACAAAAACAGGAAACCACATGCCCAGTTGGCCCAATCATTAGATCACCACAGGCATAGTCGGAAGTTAAGCCACACAATTTTTTTCAACAGGTGTCGCTCTCACGCTTGGCGCACACTTTTGCTTAAATTCTCATTATTTGTGACTTAATTTTACCGCTTTTGCACTCTCGCTCTCAAATTCGCTCTTGCTCCCGCTTTATATGACTTAGGTTGAAACTATTTTCTGAAAACTCAATTAAAAAAAAAGATACTCCGTATATGTTTTCAGTTAACTGTCTTTTACATTTATTTGAGAATAATTTTGTATTTTTGAGTTTTTAAATACTATTTTTTTTTAGTGGCAAACCATGCTTGCATTGGTGTCTTATGAGTTTTCGAAAACTGTTTCAAGGAAACTAAACCAAACACTCATTTAAACTCAGATTGTGTTTGATTTGGAAATATTGGGTTGGAATCTCGATTAATCTCAGGATTATATTCAAATTATTATGGTCAGATTTAATTCAGTTAATTTGTTTAAACTTCATAAAGAAAATTAAAAATTATCACCATAAAAAATGAAAAATAAAATTATTATCAATTTTTTTTTATGATCAAGTGGATTTCTCTTCTTGAAGCAAATTAAAGTTGTTAGAATATACTGCAATATATACCTCAGGGCTCAATCTCACCATATTGTGGAAATTAATCGGTGTTAGGTAACTCATAATTACTATATGAATTTCTTGTAGATATTTATAGGAATATTATAATCTTTGGTGAATTAAAAAGTATGAATAATGGTTGTTTGGGCTAGTTTAACCTACTTGTTTGACCTGACATGTTGGTGGCTTATATATATATTTTTTTATGTCTCAGGACGAATATTAATTTATATAATTTATTAAGGTTTGGTTTATGTTAGCTGACTTTTAATTAATGATTTTGTTATTAGAATTATTTATGATTTTCCCATAGTTGTGATCAAAATTTCTCATATAAATAATTTCAGATTTTGCATAATTGTTGTAATATTACATATATTTGTTGTCATGTCTAGAGAGGCTAATCAGAATTATTAATTATGATCTTATAATAGATATAGTTAAAATTTGTAACATTTTATAATTTCATTTTTTGCACAATTAAAATTTCTAAAATAAATTAATAAGATATACAATTTATAAACATTAGATAAAAAAATAAAAAAAAAGTGGCCCAAATTCCAATACGATATTGCTAGAATGACCCCATCTACAAGAAGCTAGTAGATCTTGATTTGTCCCCCCCATAAATTCGGGCTTTTTATGAGTGACGTGCATTAGTTTAAATCATGTGATATTGTCCATCAAGAAAAAGAAAGAAATAAAATTTGGTGGAGTTTTGGCTATATACGAGCCTCAATCTTTGTCTCACCTCGTGAATCACCAATAAATGCTGGTGTTGGAGGGCATGGTTTGGTTGTATCTGTTAATACCTAAATGTTGGTGTTGGAGGGCATGGTTTGGTTGTATCTGTTAATACCTAAAGTATTAGTAAGTTCGTATCATTACATATTTATTAGTAATTTTTGATCTCATATCATTACATATTTATTAGTAATTTTTGATCTCATATCATTACATATTTTTATGAATTAGTTAGCTGATACATAATTTGTTGATTGATTCATAATCTCTGATCTCATATCGTTATATATCTTTATTAGTTTGATCAATTTACATCAATATTTATTTAAATATGTTACACCACGATTTCGAAAGGTTGAAATATAAATATATATTTAAATTGTTTCTTTATTATATTCATCTTGACCTGGGTGACCACTTTATATACCCCATGGCTAATCTTTTACCATGTTTTTATGGTCCCTCAATAACTAAACGAGTCAACTGATTGAGAACTTCAACTTTGAGTGAGCATGTGATTAATGGTCTCAAGTGACCCTACGTACCTCCTTCATATTAATTAAGGCAGGTCTTATATTGTTTTTCTCTATAGAAATTTTTGCAAAAGTCATCATAGTACATATTAAATAATTCAGTTGCATAAATCTAGAAATGCTGCATCTTAAATTTAAAATTGAGAAAATTTAACTAATTTGATATTTCTTTTGAACTAAATTTTGTTAGATTTTAAATTCAAAACGCAAATTTGATACATCCAAACCCATTATTAAGGATTTGTTTAGCGACCACTTTAATCAAGTAGTAACGTATCGACAAAAGTATGAAACATGTTTTCTTATAACATTTGCTGCGATTTGAATCATACTGAAATTCAAACTAATTTGGTGCATTTGGTTGCTTCTCCATTGTAACAATGAACCATACAATAAAATTTCTAAAATGCCCTTTTTATAACTAGCTATTTTAATTTCCAAACGTGCAACACTTTTTTTACCAAACATGTTTTAATGGTTTGCTTCCAAATATCTTGTAACAAACATACACTATCGAACATGTTTTTTGAATAGTATTGAACGTACTCCAAAACATGCAAAAACATTACTTGTAGTTTGAATCAAAACAAAAACACAAAGCTAACTGTAATTATCAAAGAGCCCTAATAGAATAAATGAAGTTTAGGATCTTACCACTGTAAAATAAAGCAAAGGAAATTAATGTCCCTCAATAGAAACTACATTGTCTCTCACTGTATGTGTGCGTTTTGGAGATCATCTACCATTATTTGTTGAGTCAAAAGGCAGATTAACGCTACGGCTGCAAATGAGCTCGACTCATGAGCAGCTTGGACTTAGCTCGCTGAGGGTTCGGGCTTGTTCGTCAAACAAACAAGCCGAACTCGAGCTTAATTTATAAACTCATTAATTACTAAATGAGCCGAGCCCAATCAGTGTTAGACTCGACTCGTGTAGTCTCGTTTATGTTCGTGAACATATGCTTATATAAAACTTGTATATGTATTTTCGTAAACAATAGGCTCCTTAATGGCTCGTTTACATATATATATTTTTTGGTTGGAATTATTTAATTTTTAGAAATATAAAATCAAAATGTAATGATTTACTAAACGAGCTTAAACAGAATTTGAACACGAGTTCAATTTAATTTCTTAAACGAGCCCGAGCTCTTTAATACCATGATGAGCCCAAGTTGGGTTCTTTGAACTCGTCACGAGCCCGAGCCGAAGCCCAAACTGAGCCTAAGCTGAGCTATAAACAAACGAGTCCAAGCCCGAACAACCTAAAGCTCAGCTTGACTCGGTTCGTCTGCATTCCTAATTAACGCATAACATATAATATTTTGCTAAATGTGGAAATTTTTGCTTAAAATTTCAAATTTTCGAAGAGAAATTACGTAGGAAATTCCATTGAAAAATATTTTTACAACTCAAAAAGTTAATTGAACAGAGATCCTAGTGGTCTTATGTTGTTGGATGCATTCAAGTGGGGGCAGAAGACCATTTCGATTCCATATCCGGTCAAATTTTGGATTTTAAAAGTATAGATCACTCAACTTCACTAAAATCTTTATTTATAGTTTGCATAGGCACAAAGTGATCTATGTTTTACGACCATCTAATTATTTCTCGATCCAATTCTACAATATAGATACAATAGGAATTAAAAAACATAGTTAATATTTCACTCACTCCCAAACATAATCTCCATATTTTGAAATGAATCTCCCAATTCTTGAAAGAAGACATGATCATCTTCAATCTTCCTCTCATTGTTTTCAATTGCCAATTTTGTTTCAATATATTCTCCCTCCAACAAGAGACTCCTCCAAAATGATGTTATGTCTTCTTCATCTTCCCCACATTCTTCCATTTTTCTCTCTGAGGATGACTCAAACTCAGCCCCGGACCGGTCCGAATTCACCGGGGATTGTTTCACCAAGCTTGTTGTGTTATTGCTCTCTGATGCCATCTTCTTGCTCAAGTAAGAGTTCCAGTAGTTTTTAATGTCATTGGCTGTTCGACCAGGAATTCTACCTGCAATTAGAGACCATCTGCAAAAAGAAAATCAGTGAGATAATCATATATATATAATTTGTTAGAATCATAATATATATAGAAATTTCACTTGGGTGTTTATCAAATATTTATAATGTATTACTCATTTGGTTATATAGAATTGAAGTTTTTAATACGTTTATTTGAAATAAAATAACTCAAAAAATTAAACTAAATTTTTTTTTCAAGTCCACCAATTCCAGTCAAACACACAGTAAATGTTTTGCTTTATATTAATTTGTGTTTGTAATATCAATTTTTAAATCAATTGAAGTTTTCTTGATTGAGTGAAAAAAGTTAAATTGCTTTTCAATTAAACTGATAAAAAATAGTAAAAAAAAGAGAGCATATTTCTACATGAAATCATTATAGTAATTTTCCCGTTTCATAGAACCATTTTTTCCCAGAATGGGAAAGAATAAGATGCCAATTCATTTTTTCAAAGGGTTTAATTAATTAATTATTATTATTACTATTTCTTTTCTTTTTGTCATGACAAATATAACTCACACCCATTTACATTTCGATTAAATTTTGAACCTTCCATCATACACTTTAAATCTAAAGCAATGAGATATCACTAAAATTACATCTTTGACTTTGAAGCTTAAAAAAATAAAAAAAAATCATACTAATACTTATTTGAAATGTATGTTAAGGATATACAGTACAATATTTGAATATCATTTTTTTTTTTTTTTTGTTACAAGTATATTTCAATAATAATGTCAAATGAATGATAGATTGGGTCTAGGTTCAATGAATTAGCTAATGTGTAGTGACACTATGAATTATATTATTTAAATTAATCACAAACTTATCATAAAATTTTATTGCATTATGTCAGGGTATGAGAGAAATTACTTGGTTAAATATTCCAGTAAATGTTAGGTTTGAATTTATCGATCTCTCGTCACGTGACCATAACTTGACAATAATTTAAATTTAAAGAATACTTTTTTTTTGTATTTATTCAACGATGGTATGTAGGATCCATGCCTGTCGTGGCTAGTTTTTTATCCTCAAAAACAAATCTCGTACGAATACTGTATGAATACCATGGTATATCTGTCTTCAAATTATTGGTCTCTAAAAATACAAACATATTATTTATATTTAGAAAAATTATTCTTGCATCCAATATTTACAATAAATTATTATATTTACTTTTTTAATTGATCAATTATGTAATAAATAAAAAAAATAAAATATTCCACTAGATTGTGTTTGATATAAATAATTAATTAAAAATTATTTAATTAATTGGATATAAGTATCACTATTCTTATACTTAACCTATTAATAAATCTCTACATCAAGAAGGGAGAAACTTGTCCGACTTCTCCTTTTGAGTATTCTATGGTAAGAGAGAGTATATACCTTGATATATTTTTATGTCTACAATTTATTGGTTCAAACGATTTTAAGTTTTCACAACTACTAAATAGTGGTTTTCAAAGATGATAAGCTGTTCAATATATATAAATATATATATATATATATATATATATAGACATTCAAGACCACAGGTTCAACATATATATATATATATAGACATTCAAGACCACAGGCTCAACCACTAACGGGTTGCAGATGAAGGGGACAAATTGTGTACGTTTTGGGCTTGTTCCAAAAGTGAAGGCACGAGGCAGAGAGGGTACGTGGGACAATGGAGAGCAAGTTGGCATTAATTGTTATACGTACAAGTCAAATAAAAGTGTCAATTTTATTTTAAATTATTTTTGAACTTATAGACTTTAGTATTTTGTATATATTTATGTACTTGTTTAGCTTTATGTATATGTGTCGGAAGATCGCTTGAGGCATAAACATTAGCCCAATGTACTTTTCTACTTCATATATATAATTTGTTCGATCTTCCAAGAAAAATAAAATCATTTTAATATTGTTATCAGTATGAAATGAAGTACACTACTCAATGGTTAACAAATACGGATACTTATGTATTCTAGAGTACTGCTTGTGATTATAAAATATTGCAACACTATACAATATAACACGTTTTGGCACTGAAATATACAAAATATTGTTTTAATGGTACATACAATACAATATATATATATATATATATATATATATATAATGTCATGTCATGGTGTCCAATAAAAAATTGATCTAATAAAAAATACTCACTCTGTCCAATTTTAGATGTCATTTTTGAATTTGTTAGTCACAATTTTCGAAAGCAACATTTAAAATGGAACGTAGGTGGTGCTCTTTATGAAACCAGCCAATACTTAAAAATTTTGCTCTGAGCAATTCCAACTATTTTGGAGTGTAAAATAATATCACTCTCTGAACGATATTCTGTTTGGCAAGTATTTTTATTTTGTATTTTTTAAAATAAATAAAAACTCAGATCCAAAAGTAAAAAGTCGCTTTAGTTGTTTTTGCTATGAACAACTGTCATGAGATTTTATTATATATATATATATACATATAATGTAAATACCTTCTTTTTTTTTTAACAATCTTCCAAACATTAATTTATTATTATTATTTGAAACATATTTCTATATCAAAAGAAGGTAGAAAAAAACACTACTTTTTCATATGAAATCAAGATGTGAAACAAAGTATTATTGTGGTAGTAAAATTTTAGAATTGCTTTTCGTTTCCTAGAGATATTCATTTGTTTCCAAAAGCAAGAAAAATACTTCACATTTTTAACCAAATAATAAAATGTAACTAGCTTTTTCCTTTTTAATTACCCAAAAAAAAGAGAAGAAGTTAGGGAAGCTATATTGTACTTGCCTGTTGCCCAAGAGTTTATGTAGCCTGATTATGAGGTCATCCTCGTCAACTCCAAAGTCACCTCTCTTGATGTTTGGACGAAGATAGTTTAACCATCTTAGTCTACAGCTCTTAGGGCAACGATTCAGCCCTGCCATAGTCAAAAACAAAGAAATAGTTAATTCACTAGACTCTAGTCAATACAGAGTCTGAATAGAATTAGATGTATCTTACCTACACGGAGACTATTTTCGATTCTAAACTGATAACTTCTAGATTACATTGAAGCAATTAACCTTATCGTCTACCCTTCGATCTTCTATATATATATATATATATATATATATGCGCCCATAAGAAGAAAATATACATTTATGATAGGCATGTATCGTCTACCCTTCGATCTTCTATATATATATATATATATATGCGCCCATAAGAAGAAAATATACATTTATGATAGGCATGCAAAAGAGAAATGATGAGTACTTGCCAGCTTTTTTGGGGATATGCTTCCAATTGCCTTCTCCATATGTCTCAACATATTTTCTGAGCAGCTGGTTTTCTTCTTCAGTCCAAGACCCCTTTCTCATACTATTGGGACGACTCATTGCATCCGATAGATACACACAATTCACACACACTCTGTGTGTGTTTGTGTGTGCGTGTGTGTATGTGTTTTATATTAAAGCTTGAGTTATATATAATAGGAAAATGTTGGAGTTGCTTTTGGCCTAGATCTGATATTCAACACCAACACCAATTGAATAACTCAAACTATTACTATCCGCACAACAGTGACACTTATTCATCATTTATTTATCATAATGAAATATTAAAAATTTAGCGGGAACGAACTTTCCAACTCTCTATCCGTCAGTCTCTCTCTCTCTCTGTTTTTTCCCTCGTGTTGGGTCATAATAATATTGCTCCACATGTTTCACAACACCAGGATGATCAACCCTATTATTGTGTACTGATAATACTAACGTATTGCAACTATCAAGTATTACTCTCTCTCTCTCTCTCTCTCTCTCTCACATTAAAAAAAAAAAAAAAAATCAAGTATTACTCTCTGTCTCTCTCTCACACACAGATACACACATATTTCTGGCGTCACGTGAATAAAGTTACCTACACCTGCTAAAGCCTGGTACTGAATGGGCGATGTATGGTCAATTAGCTAGCCTTGTCGCCAACCACAATTTATGGGACGCACTTTTTTATTTGGATGAAAGAAAAATAAGTTTTATTTATTTATTTATTTATTTTTTATTATTATTTTTATTTAAGGAAGGTGAAAGAAAAATAAGTTGTTCACTTCTTTACATATATTCTCTTCCTCACTTATTTAATTGTATTTGATTTTATAACTTTTTAATAAAACATACTCGATTAATTTACTGACTTTGTTCGAGTTCAATACTATGATCATGATCGATATTGAGAATCATGATATATATATAATGTTGTGGTGGCGGTGGAGTTAGATTAACATTAATCTCCATGTTGCAGAATTAAAATTTAGTCAAGATTACAATAACCCATTGAAGTATGAACAGAAGCACAGCCAAGCCCAACAATGAAGTGAGATTTTCACCAAAATCTTTGGCCGAACAGTGCTTAATAAATTGTGTGATCATAAAATGAAGTGAGACCATGTTGGATAATGGATACCCTTAAATATCCCAAGTCTAGAACAAATGTCTTGGTCCCACTTAAAAATATACCAGTTTATATTTCACGTTTTTATATATCCCACGGCTGGCGAACAAGTTGGGGGCAATTGCCACCACTTATTTTTTATTTAGTATTATACCCGTTTTGTTCATTTTGATGCTTGTATATATAAAATCTCTCACTATTATTCCTACTAAAATTACAAAAAAAATTATTATTACTTCTTCTGGCATAATTTTCGGAGTCCGTCCCTTGTGTTTGGTAGAAGGATTCCATAGAAATTCTATATCTGAAATGACGGTTTTGACCTTATGGTGCATGACAAAATGCCCTTAAAAGTACTGACCAAAGGTGCATTTACATTTTGGCATAAAATCATTGGGTATATCCCTACACCACCATCACTTCTGTGTCTGTACTTTTGAAAACATGCACTTGTAATCTTCCTCACCTCTCATAATCGATTCGTCCCCCATCTATAACCCAAATCAACCCAAACACAACTACTCAAAATTGTACAAATATATATATATATATTTTTTATTTTAATTTTTGTGTGGTAAGAATTGCACTATAAACATTATTACCACCACTTATGCACAGTTAAAATCTTGTTGGTACATTTTTTTTTTTTTTTTTTTTTTTGTGAAGGTAAAGTAATACACTCACACACCCTGTCTCTACTGAGACTCGAATCCAAAACCTCACTTTGAAAACTCTTGTCGGGTTGAATTTTTATTTTTATTTTTTCCCTTTTTTCTATTGTAAAAAAATTAGCATCTTTTTTTTTTTAATTTTTATATCAGTGCTGTGCCATATGTTGAGAGCATGCATTTCGGTGCAAGTCCGAAGTATAAAAAAGTAGTATATCTCTTCTGTACCAGAAGCATCAATCTCGGAAGCCAAAAGTAAGGGAACCCATAACTTTTAGCTAACAAATTTGCAAAGTTCCAACTAATGTGGTATACGCATCCATCATTCGTACGCCTAAAAAAATAATTTTCAAAGTGAATAGTTAAAATTAATAAAAAAAATCTAACTATCTTCTACCTTCAAATGTATTTCCAGTGAGTTCCTAATAAGATCCATTTTAATACATCAAAGTTACAAATAGTTCGATCTGACTATATGGTTAGAATAATAATACCTTTTTCCAAATTAAATATTCAAAATCACTTGATTACTACTCTAAAGAAGTTGTTGAACACAGTATAATAGAGAAAATAAGATCTTGATTGATCACAATTTAAACCCTTGTGATGGGTGAAATATTATTAGGTAATTTTTTATCATGTAATTTTGATAAATTCGTGCAAATCTCCTTATATCTTTGTCACCGTTTCCTAAACCCTTTGAGTATACGTTTGACATGATATATAAAAGAGTTCAAATCAAAATTGACTCGTTTATCTGTTCGCTTCCTGACAATCATTATCACCGTCGAATTTCAGATGGTAATATTTCTAAATTTTGTAACATTTGGTGATCGGAAATTTGGGGATTCGGTTTCCCTCGTTCAAGTTTTTAGATTTGATAGGGACCCACAAAAGGACTAAAAAGTTATGTGACTATAAATGGTGATGGGTCAAGATTGGTGGCGAACCAATTAAGAGAGAAATCGAGTGGGTGTCTCGTTAGGTCGGAAAGTCGGTAAAATGGTTAGGGTAGTTCCGTCATTTAATGTTTCTATTAATGTCAGTTTTCATGGATGGGTATTATATCGAGGATATTTTAGTAATTTCACATGCGACATTTCATTACATAAGATGTTTGTTATCTAATTCAATAATTAAGTTATTAAATAATGCTGTATATTTGTCTTACAAGTATTTTTTCATGAGATCCAAAATCATTTTGAGTGCATATGTCTTATATTTCACATCAATTGTGTTTAAGATGATTTTGGCCTTCCAAGTGAGTTTAAAACCCCTCAAGTAAATAGTCCGTTCAGTGGAACCAATTTGTTAAAGCGGGTCAGTCATGTCTTGGATTCAGAAGGAAAATGACATAGATATATATGAGCGAAGGTATATAGTACTATTCAACAATTTAAGTTAAAATTTGATAACAAATACTCAATCTGTTATAAGTGATATCAGAGTCAGACACAATTTTTATTTCACCACCAACTTAAACTTTTTTAGATTCGAATATTACAATACAGCTCTCTAAAAGAGAAAATAGAAAAATAGCCATTTTCAATCTGATCATGGTGGTCAGTGGTGCAACACTAACGTTGAAAAGTACTTTAAATGTGACCTGAAAGTTTTTTTTGTTTGTTTTTTGAAAGGTAATGTGACCTGAAAGTTAATGATAAAGTTAATGATGAGAAGAACTAACAAAAGTACACTAATGTTGACAAGTGTTCTAAATGTTGCATGATGGAATGTTAACGACGAAGAAATAACAAAAGTGTGATTCCTTTAAACGTGCACTAAATGTTAACGTTGAAGAAATAGCATAAGAGTGTTTCATGACAAATGGGCTATTGCCTATTACCTAATAGTAGTGTACAATTTGTGAAATGTCAAAAAGTTATATGTACCATTCGACCTTTTTAATTATGAATTCGTACAGCATTGTAGCCCATTATTGAGTTCCTTTATTCTCTTCTCTATCTGTTTTTAGTACTATATTTGATGAGCTTATGAGCGAAGACGTTAATATAGTTATTCCGTCTCCCTGTAAGTGATGTTACTCACGAGAGCCTAGGTTGTATTTGGAGTCGGTACTATTATTAACACCCACACGCCAAAAAAAATATATATATAAAATAAAAAATAAAAAAAAAAATAGTAATGACTTTAGGGCAATACATAACACGCCTCTCAAAGGCTAGTATTTTTTTTTTATACTTTTATTAAATATGTTTTACTATTATACATATTAGTATTATCATATTGTTTATTATGTTCAATTTGAAATTAACTGTATCATTATCAATGTTTATGCTTTCTTTCCGTTGAATTATTGAAAATATTGAAAGGATTGTATTCTTATCTTTGCTTTCATATTATAAACTATGTATTTTTTAACATATCAATTTATGAATTAGAAATTCTATATTTATTTTATTGTGTATGAATGAATTTCCACAAAATTCTCAACATTGATGTGGACGTGACCAAATTGCATGACCCAAAAAAAACACAAACCCTCCCAAATGGATGCTCGACGCCAAATCGAAGCATGACTAAAATCGAATTGATTGGTTTAGTGCTAAGCTCTTTAAAAAATGGGTGAAATGAAATAATCTTTCTTGAAGTATTACACTTTTGCAAAAATATTTTCTATATTATAAAAAAATTTCTTGATCTATTCAATATTTATAAATAACATTTACTTGTTAGTCAATCATTAATGACACTGTAAAATTAACAAAGTGTTCTCATAAAACAAAAAAAAGTAAAAAAAAAATAGAAAAAGCCCATCAAAAGGCCAAAAGAGGAACAAGACAATAACCTTTGTCATGTGCACATGTCCATGGCACTTCTTTTGCTCATTTCTTAATGGGGAACATTTTTAATTCTCTTTGAACAAAAGATTCAAGTCCTTTTTTGCCCATAATGTGAACACATACTGAAATTGCTCTCTGGAATTATTATTAATTCTTGGGTTAAATGCAAAAAACCCCCCTGAACTGTTGACAAATTTGCAATTAATTCTCCTGAACTATCAAAATTGCAAAAAAAACCCCTGAACTATACAAATTTGTTGCTGATCACTCCATCCGGCCACCGGCCGTCCAAACATGGGCGCGTGATTCTCACGCGATGGACAAAATAAATTTTTTGGACAAAAATGCCCTTTCAACATTTTCTCACTATATTGTCGTATAACCACCATCATCACCAACGCTGTGTTGATCCGAGTCTGAGGTGAAGCTGAACGGTTGAGAAGAATCCGTTTTCGAAGAAGAATCCATACCTTAGAATGGAATTCAAGTTAGCTCCCAACTGTGAGAAAATTCCAACTTGTCGCACCCATTTGCGTTATGCTGCGACATACACCATAAACCACCATCACTGCCGGACTAAACACCACAAAC